ACGACGGCGACAATGGCGACGCTCACTCATCAGTCTCCAACGACCTATTTCCTCTCTCGCCTTCCTATAAGAGCTAAACCCAGAGCCTTCTCCTCAAGGGTCAAAATGTCCCTTCAAGAATCGGGGCCTTCTCTCGCCGTTGTCGGCGTTACCGGAGCCGTCGGACAAGAATTCCTCTCGGTCTTATCCGATCGAGATTTCCCTTACAGCTCCGTGAAGATGCTGGCATCGAAACGATCCGCAGGGAAGCGCGTTGCCTTCGACGGACGGGAATACACGGTGGAGGAGCTCACGGCGGAGAGTTTCGACGGCGTCGACATAGCTTTGTTCAGCGCCGGTGGATCCATTAGCAAAGAGTTTGGGCCTCTCGCGGCGGAGAAAGGAACCATCGTCGTTGACAATAGCTCGGCGTTTAGAATGGTTGATGGAGTTCCGCTTGTGATTCCGGAAGTGAATCCAGAGGCTATGAAAGGGATTAAAGTAGGAATGGGTAAAGGAGCATTGATTGCAAACCCTAATTGCTCCACTATTATCTGCTTGATGGCTGTTACTCCTCTTCATCATCACGCCAAGGTTCGATTTTTTCTTCTTCTGAAGTCTCAATCCCAATATGTGGAGGGCTTTTTGGTACTTTAGAGAATCAGTGGAACCATGGAAAGTTTGAATTCATGCAAGAATCTGCATTTTGTGCTCTGAATAGTAATGTTTGAATGGTTGTAATAGGTAAAGAGAATGGTGGTTAGTACATATCAAGCAGCTAGTGGTGCAGGTGCTGCAGCTATGGAAGAGCTTGTGCAGCAGACTCGTGAGGTTTTGTTTTCTATTTCAGACTTCCCTTTGACTTGACTCTGAAGATTATGTTTTTACTAAGTAGTGATTATGTTTCTTTTTCTTCTTTTGGATTGGTGTTTCCTTAGGTTTTAGCTGGTAGACCTCCCACGTGTACCATCTTCGGGCAGCAGGTGATTGCTCTATTTGGTTATTATAGTTTGTTTTTTGAATGTTCTGATTCTGAATACCTCTTGAGTGATGGTTTTTTTTGCTGTTTGCAGTATGCGTTCAACTTGTTTTCGCATAATGCTCCTATTCTTGAGAATGGTTACAACGAAGAGGAAATGAAACTTGTGAAGGAGACAAGGAAGATCTGGGTGAGTGGTTACATAAGAGCTATTTTGTGTTCATTTCACTGTGATCTTTTGTTCAGAATTTTGGTTGTGTTTAGAGGTCCCTCACACCTTTCTTGCTCTTCCCAGAATGACACAGAAGTAAAAGTAACAGCGACATGTATACGTGTTCCAGTTATGCGAGCTCATGCAGAGAGTGTGAATCTCCAGTTTGAGAATCCCCTTGATGAGGTAATCATACGCATGTAAACCATTTTCTACTGAAACTGCTATTGGTAGTTCTTGTTGCATTGGTGTTCAAAGTTTCCTAATGGTATCACTCACTGGTATGTCAATCTGAATCATGGCTTAAACCGTGTTACTATGGTTAATGTAATCCTGTTGTTTTCCGAGGAATTATACCTATAAAAAATACCTGGCTAAATGTACAAATAGAAACAAAGATTCACCTACCAGTCGAACAATAGGCTTAGTTAGCTTTTGAGGCAATTGAAAGTTTGGAACTTATCTAAACTTGCATAGTTAACTGCTTAATTATTCAAAACATTATCCTCTTGTCTTCAGGTTTTTAACCGTTTTTTAAACTGTATTTTAACAGAACACAGCAAGGGAGCTCCTGAAGAAAGCACCTGGAGTTTATATAATAGACAACCGTTCTTCTAACACTTTCCCTACGCCACTCGATGTCTCCAACAAAGACGATGTCGCGGTCGGTAGGATCAGGCGAGACGTGTCTCAAGATGGCAATTACGGGTAAACTCTCTTTCTATTGAAATTGAACCAAATGTGTTGTTCCATTTGGTTAATGTGATAGAACTTTGTGAATGCAGACTGGACATATTCGTCTGCGGAGATCAAATACGCAAAGGAGCTGCCCTAAATGCTGTTCAGATCGCTGAGATGCTTCTCTGATTCGGAATCGTTCACTTGGCTTCTTCTGATTCTTGACAAAAGATCACTTGTATTATCAGATTTGAGCCAAGAATTTGTCTCATTTTTGTTTTGTGAGGTTTCTTCTGTGTTCCTTAGTTGACCAATTTTGTTAACTTTTCATTTATGAAATTGTCTCTGAAATCGAAATCATCCCCACGCTTTTGAACCATTTCAATTCCCGGTTCGAATCTTTACCGGCTTGGTTAAATGGAAGATGCAATTTTATTTTGGTATGACTTCGGTTTCCTGTAAAATCGGAAATTAGGACACATGGTCGAAGAGAACCGGGACCTACAATAATTTTACGCACTGACTCTTGGGTCCCACATTGTGATTCTTTTTCACGTTGATGTGATATGTTAGGTAGTACGATTGCGAATATTCATTTTCTATATGCTTTATCTTTTTGATTTTTTATCAAATTATTAACAAGTCCTTTGCTACTAAGGTTGGTATTTTTCTTCGTTATATACCCTACACATCAAAATCAAACAAAAAAAAGTGATTGTGTTATGAAACGAATATTTTAGTTTCCTTTGTTTGTGGGTCTTTAAATCTTAAAATAAATCGTTCATTAAAATCTAATCTTCATTATATTTCCTCCTAAAACGACTCTTTATAGCATTATTATCCAAAAAAGTAAATCTGTTAATCATAAAATAAATAACATCAGTGAGAGCTTCCACCGTCCCATTAGTCACTGAGGCAAAGACGTCAGCAATCGGACGTAAGCATGGTCGTGTGTATAAAAATTAAAATGTTACGCGAAGCAGAGGATTAAGTCTCCTCATCATTCAATGGGACCCTTTAA